CAACCAGAAAGAATTCTTTCAGTTAAGGAAGTTACAGCCACTTTTTATAAATAAAGTAAAAGAAGGTTACAGCAGGACCGCCACTGGCTTCTATTCTGAGCCATATCTGATAACGTCTCTAGCCACTGTGTTGCACCATCTCTCGGACCCCAGCCAGAGAGTCATGAAGGACCAACACAAGCCAGTCCTTTGCAGCTTTCTATCATACCACGACACCATGTCATACACCGACCACCTCTCCGCTTTTTCCGACCAGTCCCAGAGTCAGCAAATAATGCACGACGTGGAATTCGCTGGGACAACATTCGTAGAACATGTCCAAGCCACCGAAGTCGGTGTTTCAAGATGGTGACACCAATTGAGTTATCGTCGCTGTGTCCAAACACACGATGTCGAACCTCTGCATTACTGACACGGTGTTGCTTCTGGATGTCAGCAATCGTACGAACACAACGATGATCAAACACAGTGAGTCATCTAACATACTCAACTCGGATAGGCCAGGTTTCACAGGCATAGAGCAGAACTGTTCTCACCGATGCGTTGTAGATCCGACCTTTTACACCACGAAGGCGCCAAAGGTGGCCCAGATTGGCATAAGCCGCTCCGGCTTTCACTATTCGTGCATTAATCTCATCACTCATGCCACCACCAGCACTTATGCAGCTACCTAGATACACGAACTTCTCGACTACTTCTATCTGCTCACTATCCAGGGTGAGTACAGGATTAGAATCCTGCCAGTCTTGTAGAAGTGCTTTGCACTTCGAAGGTGCAAAGCACATACCATACTTACGGACACTGATTACCAACTGATTAAGTGCGGATTGCATGCCTTGGGCATTATCGCACAATAAGACAATTTCATCCGCATACTCAAGGTCGAGAAGTCTTTCTCCATGTAACAGATTCACACCATTAGCTAAAATCAATCTATCTATTCCTCCAATGATTTAATCTTATAAGTAAAAAAAAACAAAACAAAAGAAACAAACAAAACAAACATACCAGTAGCACGACTAAATCCAAAATAAATACATGCATTCCAATGAATTAATACTAATATATAAGTAGTAAGCATGGAAATACGAAATAGATTTGGTCGATTTGTACGTGTTTCAGTTCTATCAACAAATTCAAATGATCTATAAATTTTCATTAAACGATTAAATCTTAACCATGAAGCATAATGATTTAATACTGGTATAAAATAAAATAAATCCGTTGGCAATATTGCCATTATATCAATAATAAATTGTTGTCGTTTAATATAAGCTTGTTTTAATTTTTCTTTATCACGTACTAATAAACCTTCTTCTAAGTAACCTGAAGAATTTATACAAAAAGAAAATAGAGAAAAGAAATAGATTAAAGAAAAAAATTTTATGAGAACGGGGTTTGTGGAGACTTTAGTCATTTCAATGGTTGAAATCATGAGTCAATTGAAGCTAGACCACCATGGAAAACATGGAAGCAGTGGATGGCCGTTTCGTCCTAGTATGGGACTCCTCAGCAGTGCACATCCGCGATCCCGTCCCCGCGAGATTCGAACTCAGGACCTATCAGTCTCGCGTGCAAGCACTGAGCTAGTCGGCATCCAACGGTGTTAATGTTTAACTTCAATCAAAAATAGTGAATTTCAATTAGTTCATATGGTACTAACAGTCAACAGCTTGGTTAACATATTTGAAAACTGCGTGTTATTCAACTTTGATAAAATGCTGTCATGCTATTTTGAATTTATGTTAACTATTTATTTTAATAGTTAAATTCATGAATCGATCTATGCTAGATTATCATTGAAAATCTGGAAGCACTAGACAGCCGTCTTGTTGTAGTATGGGACTCCTTAGTAATGCTTTCGGTCTCAAGAGCAAATACTTAATTTCTAGACTGCTGAACCGAAGTCCAATGGTGTTCATGCACTAACTTTAGTCGATCCATTATCTTGTGCAACCCTCCTCTCTTTATTGTACAAATCTTCATATGCTCCTGTTTCAATTACTTGTATTCCATAGTTACAATAGATATAATGTGCGATAGTTTATGAATTAATTTTTATTTATTTGGTTTATTGAGTTATTGTAGAACTTTGTGAAGACTAATGAATTCTGTAAATAATTTAGTACATAAAATAATTACGTAGTAAGTGTTTGTCAATGAAACTAAATAACGTTTGTGTCGTGATGTGCAGTGACCGAAATCTGATACTGAGATACAGTATGTTATGCGCTAATCCCCCCCCCCCCGACTTACTACTTGAGCGAGAACACAAGAGTTAGGGAGAAAGTGTATTTAAAATTTTTAGTTGTTATCTTTGTTCATTTTAAGTAAACACTTCAGCTTGGCCAATGAATCAGTAAACAAATTGAAGACGGTTCAAGGAAGGAAAATTTTTTTGGTCATTTTCTTCGTTTAAAGCTGTACAATCGTATTTATAGCTAATTTTACATATAGTAGTTTGTCATAAAGGAAGTTCTGGATCATCTGACAAAGTTGCCATAAATTCTGAATAGCTCTCACCTATCGAACTCAGGTTACAAAATCGTATTATAGGTAATAAGAAATAAAAATACAACAGTTGAATTCATAGATCGATCTAAGATAGACCACCATTGAAAATGTGGATTCACTGGATGGCCATTTCGTCTTGGTATGGGACGAAGAGATGCGCAAGATTATGGAGCGATTAGAGTTGGACACTGATACCGTTATATGCCGGTTCATTGATCTAGAGCTTAAGCTTTCGCGCATAAGACCGAAGGTACTGGGTTCGAATCCTGTATGCGGGGTAGTGGATGCGCACTGTTCAGGAGTTCCACAATAAGACGAAACGGCCGTGCCGTGCTTCGAGATTTTCACTGGTGGTTTAGCTAAAGTCGACTCATGAATTCAACTATTACAAATAATACGATCTCCACAAATTTCCATTCTGAAAGTAACAATTTGCAGTGGAGTTGTTAAAAAAGTAATTGTCTACACTACGTGTATGAGGCTGAAGAATATGATATTAACTAGGACCAATAATTAGTAGAACTGGAGGGGTTACTAAGATTTTGATTGAACCTTTCTCAGTTTGTTCAAATCTATAAACAATTCATACAAAAAAAAATTTAACTCACCTGTACGTAATCCAACAAAAATATCCATAAAATAGACACAATCAATACAATAGTCTAATACCATCCAAATGATAGGACTTAATTCATGAAATTGAGTGAATGCAGATCTCATTGGTAAAACAATTGCATTATAAAGTACTGTGATTGTAACAATTCCAATCCAATAATAGTATCCACTTTCAGATGAATCAATAACTAGATCTTTAAGGTTACTATGAAAATAAATAATAAATATAAATTAATATTTCTTTTCAGAAAACATACAAGAATGAAGTTCAACGGATGCTAATCATTATATTGAGATCACTGGATGACCTACATTGAACAATCGTTAAAAACTTGTAAGTATTTGATGGTAATTTCGTCTTGGTATGGAACTTCTTAGAACTTAAACATCTATAATCGTGTATTTGTGATTCTAATCCAAGAGTTTTAGTCTCACTGTAGTTGTTGTAATCATCTACTTTTATAATGACAAAGGATATCAAGTGTTCTTAATAAGGCATTGTTTACTAAATTTGTCCTTGCATTTATATTCACATACATGATTCATAGTGTTTTAAGGTATTTCTCTATCTTCTAATACATGTGTCTATTTATCCATACATTTTTAATGAATGCCAAAACAGAGGGATTTGATTGATCTCTCAGTGGAGAGATCTACTATGAAATTCGGAGATGTGACTCCATGGTGGTCGGTGACCATAGTAAAATCATTTGCTATTCATTTTCTAAAAATTTTAAAAAGTAGATTCACAGTTAAATTAAAGTCACAATTTTTCAGATATCTTTATATCTCGACGGCGCTTAAACACCTAATATTCACTTTCACCTTCTCAATACATGACAATACTGAATAAATTTTCTATAAAGAAGTCTATGAATACACAATCCTATAAGAGAACCAAGTTATGATGTTTGAGCCATTTCACAAAATTCTAATAGAAATCAACGATTTAGAAGGAAGTCAATGGAAGGAACAAATTGAACTTTTGTGAGACATTACAATAAAGAGAATTTTCATTTATTTCACTGTGTATAACGGATTTATTCTAGTCACCTTACCAATTATACTATCATCAGACAGGAATTTTGTGGAAATTGTGGTAATTTAATAAGTGAATTCATAAGTCAATTGAAGCTAGACCACCATAGAAAACATGGGAGCACTGGATGGCCGTTTTCTCCTATTGTGGCGCTCCTCACCAGTGCGCATCCACGATCCCGCCCCCCTCGAGATTCGAACACAGGACCTATCAATCTCACGCGTGACCACTTAGCCTCTAGACCACTAATCTGGCTGGTATCCAACGGTGTTAATGTCTAACTTCAACTAATCCACGAAATTGTGCCACCGTCCACCATTGTCTTCAGTAAGTTGCTATCTCGAAATATACCCTGTTGAACTCCACTGGCCATGGATACGCACTGCTCAAAAGTCCTACAGTAGAACGAAACGGTCGTCCCATGCTTCCAGGTTTTCTATGGTTATCTAGCTTCAATTGACTCATGAATTCAATTATTAAATTACATTATCATTGTCAAGATCTTAAATTAACAAAATGATCAAAACACCAAAAGTTTTTTTATTATATTGTAAATTAAATTAAGCATTGGAAAGCTTTTCCTGATATTTTGTTAATGTTCAATGCGTAAAGTATTGACATACTGTAGATAATTTAGTTAGACAGTACAAAAAAAGAAGGAAAAAGAAAAGGAGTTTAGTTATTCCCAAGGCAACTGATAGATTGAACAGTTTCAAATTACAATTTTTACTAAATATAGAGACTGAATTTAATTTACAATAATTTGAATTGTTTATATTCTTAAATGAAACTTGATCAAATTCACTTGATATTGTTTATTTGTATCTTCTCATTGTAATTGATCAATCTCTTGTGACTATCAGGATTCAATAGATAAGTGGATAACACAATGACGTTTAAAGTGAATGATGCTGAGTTTGGATCACGGAGTGAACATCAGCTGTAGAATGTAAGTACATGAAGCTGACGAGTTCCAAATAGTACAAAGTGGTGCGCGTCTTGGATTCCACTGCTAGCTACTATCTATCTTTGCTTATGAAACTTGACAAGTTTTAGTTAACATATAGTAAATCCCATGCGGATTGCCTCGGTTTAGCCATTATATCATAAGTTTTTATAGAATAGATTAAACATGGTTAACAGTGGAGTTTAGGATGTATGTTTTGTCCTATTTAGGATTCGTCAGCTGAATGTGTATAAGCCAGCAGGTATCTGGATTCAACAGATCAACAGATAAAGCGTTAGTCATTTCATAGAAAGGTATTGAGCTCTAATTTAAGTGTGAAAATGATCAATGAAATGCAGGTATATCCGTCTGACGAGTTCTAAATAGGACAAAAGGGTCTCCTGGATATCATTACTAACCACGTTCCATCTGTTCTATAAAAATATAGATAATTTTAGAGTAAAAAATAAAATCATTTTTAGGTTAGTGTTGTCATATTTAAATAAAATCATCAATTTATGTTGTTGAGAAATTCATTTGTTTGATGTTAGACTGTGAATAACTACTTACAAGTTACCAGAATTACTACTACATATATAAATAAGGGGAACTAAGGATTATAGTTCTAACAGAGGAAATGTTTGTGTAATTATGTCCGCTTCTCGATTAATCTTGTGAATTGAATTAATTTTTATGTCTGCTGACAAACAAATACAAAAAACTGAGTTACTGATGACAAACTTGGTGGTCTTGAGTGCTGTTAGGGGTATGAGGGCGGTTATCACTTGCCGGTTGCCCACACTGTGGAAGGGTTCTTCTGGAGGTACCTGAAAAGGAAATTGGATTAGAGGTAGTCTTGGTGACCTGAGAGCGTGACCGCAGTGCCCAAGGGACAACTGCTTGAGGTCGGTCACACACGGCCTTTTTATGGGTAATTTTTGTGTTAGCTCCGTACTTGTTGAGACCTTACCGCCGGAGACGGATATCCGTGGGATAAGGCGAGGTGTGCATTTTTAGGGTCAACCTTTTCTAACCCCACCCCTCCTTGTGGGAAGGCAGCATCGTTGTCATGTTGGTTGTCTGAAGGAAACACCTTACTGCTGTCACACCTCTGTACAGTCAGCAGTACGACTTCGCCTTCGGACCTTAGGTTTGTTGCTCTTAGTCTTACCGCTCTTCAACCGACCTGTCTGACATGGTAGGACTTTGAGGAACGGTTGTTCCAGCCAGTATAGCTCGGTTGCTTCATCACGATAGGTAAGCCCGACCACAACGTCAAGGTAGCAACAACGGTAGGGGATGACAAACTTATAGTGAATGAATGTCAGTATATAAAAAAATGGTCAATACACAAAAATAAACAGAAACAAAGTTCATTTAAGATATAACTAACTCTAGAGATCATGAGTCATAGGTAAATTATTAATCAACAGCATTAAAACCTTGATCACTAGGTCGGTTTGACTAATAGGATTTGTTTTGCGTTAAAGACCAAAGACATATATAAGGTAACCCTGTGTTACTAGTCTATATGTTATCGATTTTTACATGGATCATACGTTCCAATGAAATTGTAGGTACATCTTAACTTGTTTCAAATGAGAAGAAACCTAGATTTAAAGTATCTTCATGACTAATTCCAATCACCCAACACCATCCCATTTGTCAACTATCATATCATTTAATGAAAATATTGATATTTTTCGTAAACAATGAGCTGAACAAAACTAAAAATATCAAAAAACGAACTATCATAGTTCTATGAAAAGTATATTCATATAATGTATCCTTTATTTAGACTCCCACGAATAACACTGTGAACGCACACTGCTAAGGAATCCCATACTAAGGTGTGAAACACTCGTCCAATGTTTCCAGATTTTCAATGGTGGTTTAGCTTACATTAACTCATAAATTGCTGCAATCTTAACAAAACCCCCTTTCTAATAATAAATACATCAATGATTAATTAAGACTTTCAAAAATTTGAAACACTTCTGTCACCTTGGTATCTTTTGAATTCTTTCACGTATGGTTAATTTTTTCTTTGTTTCACCTTCTGTGTCTTGTTTATTTGCATCGGTTTTCTTTTCACCAATTTCACTATCTTTATTGATGATTAAATTTTCCGTTGCTAAATCGATTTGTTTCTCACGTTTATATTTTTTATTGAAACACTTAATAAAATGAAAAAGAAAATAAACAAACAAACAAAAGTAAATTACTATAATATCCACAAAATCACATACTGATATTATTTCAATATATGCTCACTAGTGACTGGATTCACGAGGTATATCCTGAAGTTCTAGTGAGAAGCAGTGATCAATGGAGTTCAACCAGGTATGTTGTGAGATATCAGCTCATTGAAGACAATGGTGGATGTGTCACGCAATTTTGTGGATTAGTTGAAATTAGACATTAACCTCATTGGATGCCAATCAGCTTAGTGGTCTAGTGGAAATAGCTCACGCGTGAGACTGATAGGTCCTATGCTTCTAGCTGGCGAGGCGGTGTCGTGAATGCGCACTGGTAAGGAGTCCCACAATAAGACAAAACGGCCGTCCAATGCTTCCAGGTTTCCCATGGTGGTCTAGATCCAGTTGACTTATGTTCTCAACTATTAAAATATTTTTCTGGTAAGAACATTTGTAAATATCATTTGAACTATCTATTATTTAATCAAAATTGTATCGTTTGCTTGTATCTTCCGATTGGTGTTTAAGACTGTAATTGATCTCTAAATGAATATCTACTCTGAGATGCAAGTACATCCAGCTGACGAGTCCCGAATAAGACGAAACGCGCGTTCTAGATTCCACTGCTAGCCATCATCTAACTTTTCTCAAACCACTTTAATTATACATTTCGGGGATTCATGGAAAACGTTTTGTGATTACTTATGTAAACGTCATTATAAATCGCTATTTTAGTGCGTATAGATAAAAGTTACCATTGGATTTATTATGACTTATAAAGTGAATAATGATAAGGCTATTTATATTGTTGTGCACTATTCAGTATCTGTTATAACTTGTGGTTTGTATGCTCTATTAGTGTATAACGTAACGATACCGCCAATTAGAGAGCAGCGACTTATCGATTAAATCAGTGACGCGTAAACTTGTATGAGCAGTCTAGAGTCCTTATTAGCCCTGGTTCGTACCTAGCCCAACCAGTTAAGTTCAGAACACCAATCTCAGCCTCTACAATATGAATCATTTATTTCGAATATACTCTGTTTATATACCAACCAGACAGAACACATCGTACCATAAAATATGTAAACAACATTTGTACAAGATTTGGCCAAATGTGGCTGTGAATGTGGGAGGAGTGATTAATAAATAGGGAACAATTCAAGAACGGTAAATCGTATACTAATAGTTCACAGGGTAAAATAAAGCTTATGATAATGGAGACATGGATATGAATAGTTTAGTTAATTAACAATTATATGGTAAAAATATACGAATATTACTGGTCCACAAATGGATCCCAAAATTACCATTTATTATGCTTATCGCGACCTAACAGTATCAAAATATTAGAACTCAAGTATCATAATTAACGCTAATTTTATGAATTCAGTATCATTATATACGGACTAGTGACTTATCTTGTGAGGTAATACTTGGGATTCCAGTGAGAAACCATAATCAATAGAGTCTAGACATATTAGGTGTGAGGCAGTTACTCATAAATGTCATTGAAAGATAATCGTTTAACTTCACCAAATGACTGAAGTTAAACATGTAAATCATTCAACGTCGACTCAGTTGTTGAAAAGTTAGGTATAAGATCTAGAAACTTTGTGTTTGATCCCCAGTAGTGGTCGTGCAGGTACAAAATGGTTATCTAGTTCTTTCCTATTCCTACTGGTTTTCTATTTAAGGCCAGTTTATGATAGAAACTATAGTTATTATTTGTATTTTGTCATTGATCAAACTCACTTATTACATCTCATTGACATTTATATTATGATGAATTGAACAGTTTAACATAAATAAACGTATTTCATTTATTAAACATACAAAGTAGAGTAATATCTGATACTGAATTGAGAATAGTTCAGTTGCTATCATTAGCATTTGAGTACAAATACAGAAAACTAATAGTAGAATCAATTTACATAACATTATGGAACTTGAATAAAGCCGATATACACTGATTTAGTGTACATAAGCAACAAAAAAAAGTCATAAAGCTTCTTCTCATCTGAATAAGATGAGATAAAAGAAAATATGAAAACTGATGATCTATCTTTTACTTGAACACTTAAACATCGACATCTAAATTACTTCCTAGTTTCTATAAAAATCTTTCATCATTGAACGTTGAGTTAACTATTGAAAACGGAAAGTAAAACCGAAAGCCATACTTCTGATGTTAGTGTAAAGAAAATAACGGTATATATATACATATATGGTTATTTGTGATCTCAAGTTCTTAGAAACTTATCAATGAATTTGGTAACTTTATAATCAGGATAAGGATATTGATTCTTATGCAATGATCTAAAGAGGATCAATAAATCAAAGTACTTTTATAACATTTTCTTGACTTCTGAATATTTTGCTGATAAATGATCAAAATCTTCTATTATTGAAAACAAATAGTGAAATACACTAAGATCATTATGACTAAACAGAGTGATTCAGCTTTAGAAATTCTTAAATAAATGTCAGTAGAACTTGCGAAACATTAGCATATAATAGAAGAATTAAAAAGCAACATCTTATTATATCAGCTTCCAGCTAAAGAACAAATTAGTGAAAGATGTTGGAGGTGGATAGGACATATATTGTAGAAATTATCAAACTGTATCACAAAGCAAGCGCTAACTTGAAATCCTGAATTGAAACGAAAAAGTGCAAGAACAAAGAACACACTGTATCCAGAATTGGAAACAGATATGAAAAGGATGAATAGCGACTGAAAAGAACTGGAAAGGATTGCTCAAAAAATAGAATTGGATGGAGAATGCTGGTGTTCGGTTTACACTTCTCCACTAGGAGTAACTGGCGTAAATAAGTGAAAACAGGTGTAAACGGTGTTTTACAAAGATAAAATAAAATCTGATAAATAATTTTTTCTTTTTTTTTAATAAAAGTTCATTTAAAATATCTTTCCAGACGTTAGAAAGAAAATTCTATTCTTGAAAATTGAAAGTAACTCAAAAATTTCGTTTTTCAGTTTGATTCGAGATGTTGTAGTGAAATAATCCAGCAGTAAAGTCAATGAATATAAATAGACTCCTTGTAAGCGATGATGGATAGTGGCTAGCAGTGGAATCCAGGAAGCGCGTTTCATCTTGTCTGGGACCCGTCAGCTGGATGTACCTGCACCTCGGAGTTGATGCTCACTCTGGGACTCCAACCCAGTACCGTTCGCTTCAAACGCCATCGCGTTATCCGCTTAGCTACTGAGTCCTGATAGCCATTTGCTTGTGCAATGGGGTGAATTCAAATTCACTTGGTATTGTTTGGCTTGTATCTTCGCATTGAGGTTTAAGACTGCAATTGATCAGTCTGTTATTGACATATGTGCATACTGTGCGTATGTCAATAACAGACTGACCAATTTCAGTCTTAAACCTCAATGTGAATATACAAGCCAAACAATACCAAGTGAATTTGAATATAAATAGAGTTTGCAGAACCATTTTACACTAAACGATTGTTCAACCATTTCAGGTTATGAATTCGAAATTATCAAAATAAGTCATTTCTTATGAAATTTTAGTAAAAGAAGAAATGTTCGTATGTATATGCAGATCCGATGTGAAAAACCATTGAGTATATATAACTATAGATTGTAGTGGAGGATAAAACTAATTAATATTATCGATGTTCACAAACTGAATTTGTCAAAGAGTGGATGGAATTTAAATAAATAGATAAATTTATGTTTGTGCTGATGATGTTATACAGACCGAAAGTTCATAGGATGCATAAGCACAATAATTAATTAAAGCAAACTACATTGTTGTCTCTTATAAAGCATGAGATGTCAAACTAAATAACGAATTTATTTCTAATTTCAATTGATGAGACCATTAAAAAGCACAATCTTCTTACCCTAAACATTCGGCGTCCAACCATCGTGATACTATTCGTTTAAATTTCGTCAAAATGTCTGATCAGATTTAATTACGAATATCGATTACCATAAAATACAAACAATTATCAGTCTAAGATTGTAAATATTATTGAATTTTATTGAAATCATGAAGTTATCTAAGTTAAATCACTCGTAAGAAGCTAGAAGCACTGGAAGGTCGTTTCGTCCTAGTATGGAACTTTTCAGCAGCGCAGGATCGTGGATGTACATTACTGAGGAGTCCTAAACTAGGACGAAACGGCCATTCAATGCTTCCAGGTTTTCAGTGGTAGTGTAACTTAGATCACTTCATAATTTAATAACAAACAGCTAGAAATAATATCTTACTATTTGAATAATATGATGGCTACTGTAACTTACGATCTCAACCTAAACCTCATTGATATTTTAAGCTGCAGGTAGGTTCTGTGTTCGATATTTAACGTAAATATTAATATCTCGATGTTGGACCATATCACAATTTCTATTATTAATATTAACAACTCGACAATCCAAATTTGTATAAATCTTCGCAGTAAAATTTTATCAGTTTTTACAACCCAATAAGTGTAACTAAGGAACTATTACACAGATCTATATATAGTCACTGAACCAGAAATCCATATTAGGTGAGTTTTCCCTGTTCGAAAAACTATAAAGAATCTTAGTGATAAGTTTCATTCTATTCAAGATCTGTAGGTTGGATCCAATGTTATTAGTAAAACTACCCAATAATAAAATAAATTTGTAATTCCTAACCAATTTGAGATATCAGACTGATCTATTTTACTTTCGAACTTAAACAACAGGAAATTTAAGTCATAATGATTAATAATAAACAATATATCCATGAAATTAGTTGATGACTATCATGAATAAGCGACTCATTGGATAACCCAGTGCAGTTTGTGTTTCAGTATAAATGCTAACATTAAGATACAAGTACATCCATATGATGAGTCTTCAATGACGGCGAAAGTGAAATTCTAGATTCCTTCTCTAGCCACAATCCAATATGTATATATATGTACATAAAGTATACCTACAAATAGTCCTGAGTTTTCCACTCAACGTTTCCATATAGTAACAGTGACTGATCAACATTTAAACCAGAAGACATAACAACCGTAGAAAAATACAATAACCTTTGCGATTAATTAATAGCAAATAAATGGTATATACATATATATAACTTACAAAAATCATTCTTTTCATGACAGATGATTTAGATCGTGATTCCAGATTTCTAAAAGCTATATCCGTTTTTTCCCCAGTTTCAGCCATGAATACTTGTCAAAATTCTGATTTGATTTTTATACATATAAAAGTAATAAGCTTTTAAGATTTATTTAAAAATAGATTCCCTAGTTTAACGATCCACAGAAGTCAACTCTTATAGTCACATTGAAAAATCTACTTAGATTAAAGTTACAGAAACTCTGTAAGCCATATTTTATATATAAATACAGCACTCCACTATGATCCATCACTCCCACCCCATATACTCGTTTTTATCATTGTTGTCATGGTAATAATGATATATACATATATAACGGGTGTGCCATATACCAGGCGTGGTTAGGTAATTTATTCATCTTATTGATTTTGATTTCCTCGTATATTTTTTTTTCGAGTATTTTCCTCACTTAGAAATAAACAATAATCGGATGTTAGGCTACTGGTTAATAAAAAGTTTATGTTTGCAGTTTATTAATCCCCAATCTTTCAATGTTTTAATTCACGAGTTGATATTTTTTCATCACAGAGAATACAATCAGATATGGTGATTATAAAAATACTGACGTAATAATTTCATGATTATGTCACATTGTGTATCTGAAAAATAAAATTTAATTTTTAATGTATCAAATATGGTCCACACCTAGACAGGAAAACTAATGATTAAATCACATGGTTGTAGAATATGTAACAGGAACTATTAAGATTATGAATTAATTTAAGTTAGAAAACTATTGAAAACCAGGAAGTATTGGATGATGGTTTCACCTTACTATGTTACTCTTCAATAATGTGCAACCAAAGTTCCTCAATTGGAGACAAACCTAAGATTTTTGATCGTAAATTTTCATAAAAAATCTCCTAACTAGGATGAAATGGCCATTTAATGTATCCAAGTACTTAGTGTTTGTTTAACTGATATTGGTTTTTGATCTCGTCATCTCATCATCATCATTCATCACAACTTTATACTGATAGGATTAAATGATTTATCTTGATTTTGTTTTAAATTAATTACCATACATAAATATATGGGAAAACACTTAATGTGTCACACTACTACTTACTTATAATTAATCTATTCAATAGCTTTCATGTAGTCTAAAGATTTATAAGATAACCAAATGTTGAAGTATAGTAATCTTCTATGGAAACAGGAATCTCCCTGTTTATAAGTTGTTCTTAATATAGAGACATAGTTCTTCATATAAATTCCAATTTGATTATTTGTGAATACTTATCTTCCATAGTATTTATGAATAATTAATAAATGAACTTGTCACTTATTGAATATATCAATGTCATTTTATTTTTCTATGTGAAAGAAGAAATAACCCCCACTATATATGTTATATCCGAGCGAAGATTCAATCACGAGTAACTTCTGAGACATAATATTATCTATACAATCTTATGGTATATATATTCAATAATTAGATTATGTATATTTATATTCCTCTAATTATAAGCTTTACTTTGACCTATAATTTATTATTGTACGATTTACTGTTCTTAAGTTATGTTCAGTTTATTAACTAGTGCCTTCCACGTTCACAGTCACTTTTTGGCTTTAAAGTGTACAAATGTTATTTCCTATTTTATGGTGCGTTGAGGTCTGTTTGATTGATATATAAACCCAGTTTATCTGAAATAAATGATTCGATTTGATTCGCATATTGGAAGCTGGTATTGGTGTTCTGGACTCAAGTGGATGGGCTAGGCGGACATAGGACCAATAAGGACGCTAGGCTGCTCTTACCTGTCGAACGTCATTGGTTTGGCATAGTGCTAAGATTGTATAAGTCGTATTTTGATTAGTGGATAAATCACGTGATAAAAAGTTGAACATAAAGTCACAACAATATATGTACTTAATAAGAAGAAATTGAATGAAAGAATCTGTCGAGTAATAATGAATATTACACACACTGAATATAGTACTGGCTATCATGATTACATAACCTAACAGCTTACACACTAGTATTTAAAAATGATATATTGTATTGGAGTCATAATAGAAATATCATCTCACGATCGATTGATCATTGGGTGGTGATCAATATCATGTGTGTCAAGTCCTTATTTAGTGCAGATCGAATGGTATCGACCATGTTGAAATGTGACCATCAGTCTAGGTGACTCGACACTGCATGCACTATATATTGAGATTAGATTGCCCGGATAGCCCAGTGATAACATCTCTGATTGTGAAGCTGGGTGACACGGGATCGAATCCGTCAGAGAGCACCAGTTCCCTCAAGATTACAGTTACACCTTGCTGATGAGTGCCAAGTAGCACGAAACCCGGGTCCAGGGTTTCCTGTCGACTACCTCCAACGACCATCTAATCTCAGAAATATCATCTGGATGTCAGTAAATTTGACTGGCTAACCCCAATATGAAGACAAATCTTTTAAAATCTATTCTACAATTAACCATTATCAAAATATATGTAAACCATATAACTGGATTCGATATGTAGGTGTCTGTTAAATGTGAGATTAAATAGGAACAGAGACTGAACAAGTTTAGTTGTGAATACAAGTAAACTCATATAATCTTTAAGAATAATAAAAAAACATATTTACTGATAGCAATCATGACAAGAAATTATCAGATTAAATTATTAGAACGATTGGGCAGAGATTTTGTGCAGTTAGTAAATAGTTTTTCTCATTAACTACAATAAGCGAAATAGCCGGTGAAAAATAGGGAGTTGCATCTTGATAGATACTTTTATTATTTCACTGGTTGAAATCATGAGTCAATTGAAACTAGACCACCATGGACAACCTGGAAGCACTAGTATGGGACTCCTTAGCAGTGCGCATCCACGATCCCGCACCCCGCGAGATTCTAACCCAGGACCTATCGGTCTCGCGCCAGGCGCTTAACCAAAAAGTGTTTTTTCGACGAAGTTATGAATATATATTGTCATTGAAATATACTGAGAATCATAATACGTGCGTGTAATGTACGACCATAATAGATGTTTGATACAGATCAAGTGAACTGTTACCACTGAGTTATTATAGGTGAGATTGAGGTTAGAACTGGTCAACTACTGTGTAATGATCAATCTAACTTTGTCTAAACCTCAGTGCTGAAAGTTAGACAAAAGCGAAATTGGTTAATAAACTGCAATCAGTATGCATTAAGATCATTCATATTCTTATTTAAAAAAGATATTTACATAAACATAATTTTAATCTGCCATGTTTTAATTTTAATTATGCTATGAAATATATACTACTTACAAGTAGTTCAAAACAACTTATATGATAAATAAGAAGTTATTAGGTAAATATTAACAAATCTATTTAACTCCTGTTTTAAAATATGTTAAACAAGTGTAAGAACTTAGTGGGACTATACAATTCGATAGAGTTCCAAAACATTATCTTTTGTAAAGTGTAATCAGCTTTGTAGTTAGACAAGAGCTTGGTCAATAGAATTTGTTCTGTAATAAGATTGATTAGATAAACTTAACTATGGTTATTACTCAGTGATCAATGGGTATGAACAATTCAGATGATGTGGAGTTTGATATTCCATTAATTGATACTTTCGTAATTCATTAACAATCGAAATACCTGCATTTGTAATTTTCAACAAAAACCATTATTTCATCAAGACGAATGTAAATGTATCGAACTGAAACTAATGGTTCTTGTATTTAAACAGTACCCTAAAGAGAATGAAAGGTCAAGGAAGGATGAGAGGTTGAAGTAGAATCAAAAATTTATGTACTTCTAAGGCATTGACGATTCACTAATTCATACTCGAATTCTACGTGCAAAAGTGATACATTTAACACTCTCATCCTTCCTTGATTCTAATTCCCTTCTGTACATTGTTCAAATACCAGTACTAACAAAAACTATTATTTATTGAATTTCATTTCATCTATTAATTTAATTTAACGTGTTTGTCTTCGTTTTTTCTGGGTAAGATAAACTGATCGATGCTAAAACCGTCAATTTCTGATTTGTTTTCTTGTTATTGTTTATATATATGGAATTATTTACATAATTGAAAATGAATCGGTAACAAAAGGTGAATATTTATTAATTCGTTATTATATCTATTTAAATCAGGAAATTTCATCACCATGGAAATTAGTTCTTTATTCAGTTTAACTTATTTTGGTATTGTTTTGGCTTGTATCTGCCCATTGAGGTTTAAGACTGCAATTGATCAGTCTGCTATTGGCATATGTGCATACTGTGCGTATGCCTTGATATTGCCTTAATTCACAAGCTTTTATTAAGTAATGATGGATAATGGCTAACAGTGGAATCCAGGAAGCGCGTCTCGTCCTATTTAAGACTCGAACCCAGTATCTTTCGCTTCAAACACCTTCGCGTTACCCACTCAGCTACTGAGTCCTGCTAGCCACTTGCTTATGCAAGTTATCTTAGTTTGGAGAAATAGGATTTATTTCTCTCTTATGATATACTGTGGTGAACAAGAACACGAATAGGGACAATCGAATGTATTAGACGTGAAATGACAGGGTATCTCACTAAAATCTGAGAACCATATGGTAAATAGTTAATTTGCAAAATATCAATCTATCGTCTCAAACTTCATTGTTCCTTTTACAAATATCAGTTCATTATCTCAGATTTCATTGTTCATTCATTTTCATACTAATCGCGTCCCGTTTTCGTTCTTTCTTTATCGATCTTCTACTGAAATACATTCTATGCCTGACCACAGTTATATACTACTTATATGGATATAAGTAACCCACACTACAATACTATTTTAGAATAATATGTAGATCCTTTAGAAAAACTCTCAGAAATGCAATAATAATCTGTTGAAAGATGTTTATACTATAAAATCAATGGAAAGAACATTTCTTTTACAGTCGATAAGGTATGGAACTGTATAGGACTGAAAAGGTAACAAATCGGATGTGAACCTTCGACGACAGTCAGTTTGCGATAGTCAAAACAATAAAAGTATGTGTTTTTCCTCAGCAAGTACTACTCGAGTTGCTATCATGACTCAGTAGCTAAGTGGATAACGCAATAACA